CTCGCTCTCTCTCTCTCTCTGGTCAAATTAAAAAAAAAAAAAAACAAGAACGAATAAATAAAATAAATAATTTAAAAAATTTCAGCCAAGAATACTATACCCAGTAAGATTATCCTTCATATGGGAAGAAAAGACAAAAACATTCTCAGATAAACAAAACCTGAAAGAATTTATCAACACCAGACCAGCTCTCGAGGAAGTTCTGAATGGAGTGCTATACCAAGAAAACTAAAGGTAGATACACAAAAATAAGAGTTCAAAAACAACCAAGAAAATGGTCAACTTAATGGTAGGGACAAGTCCAGAGTTGAATGTTATCTTCTAGAATTTAAATGGAAAGATCGGATCACAACAGAAGAGATATTAATTACATGAGACTGAACTAGTGAAATAGAATTTTATGGTTTTTGACTAAAACATTACTGATTTTCTTTTATGCTTTGTTTTCCAGATTTAAGGATTTTTGTCTTCTCTTGAGTTGTCGATAGGTTCATATACCTACTATTTGAACAGAATCCTAACCTGTTTCCTGGCTTTAAGTCTTAAGCAAATTTCTCTTTAACATTTTAAAATTTTGATTTATTAAAGCTAAAACTGCTTTTCTTGAAATTAAAAAGTGTATTTAAAAATACCTATTTAATGACTGCAGTAAGCTCTATAGCCTCAACTAGGTGCTACTTTATAGTATACTCACTCCGCTCACTGAGTTTTATGCCTAAAGTCAGACATGTGTTCACAGATATGTATATATCAGCTGAAATTGCTATAGAGAGTATTTAGATTAATTAAGATAGTTCGTGAATCGATAAAATGTGGGAAAAGGGGGGAATGGAGGGCAACTGTGGATACTAGAGACAGTATGGGAGGAGGGTGAGAAATGGCAGAGGATGAGAAATAGGGAATAAAGAAATGAAAAAATATAAAACTACAGCTGATGGCAGAAAACCTCAGACTGTCTGTGACTTTAAGGATGGTGCATTGGTTCAACATCAAAAATGGGATGGGAAAGGGAACCAGCAGTTAGCGTAATGGCTATGTCACTGGACTCCCACGTAGTCGACCACGGTTCGCGTCCCAGACCCAGTGGCTTAAAACTCACGCCGGGCGCGTGTGCGTGCGTGCCCAAGATCCCGAGAGGAGAATGGAGGAGAAAGGATTTGCGGTGTGACCATCCCCTCTGGGGGGTGATTTCTCGCTTTCTGTCTCTGTGTCTTTCTCTGTCTGTCTGGCAAGCGCATGCGCCCTATAGCGAAAAAAATCTCTCCCCCCTCCAAGAAAAAAAGGGATGGGAAAGAAAGCACAATAACAAGCAAATTGCAAGATGAAAAATTAGTGGTGGACTGTGTCATGAATAATGTCACCTGTACTCGAGTCTGAAAAAGTAGAATAAAAATTCCATCATCACTTCAGACAGAAATTAGCTGCGAGAATGAACAAGCTCAGTTCAATGAGCAAATCTCCATACTACTTTTCATTACTGTGTTCAATGACCTTCATCGCAAACATTTTACATACAACTATTTCCAAGTCTTGACTTAATTAGGATCATCCCTTTGGTTAGTAAATAAATGTGTTTGTGCTAAAAAAAAAAAAAAAAAAGAAAAAATATATAAGAAATGAGAAATAAAAACTGTTTGTTAAAAAAAGAAAAAGAAAAATTGTTTGTTGATGATAACATGTATGATTAAGCCAATATACAGTGTATTCTGAATGGGAAATCGCATGATGATCAGTGAATGAATGTAAAATAAATACATTAAAATTAAAATAAAAAAATACACCTGAATGACTACGCTCCATAGCAGAAACTGAAAACTTGGAAGGTATAATAGCAGGGAGGGTAACTGTAGATACTAGAGAGAGTATGGAGGGGTAATAGGGGGTGATTTATGGGGGTGGGAGGGAGGACTTCAGGGGAAAAAACAAACATATTAAACAGACACAAAAATGAAAAGTTATCTGCTGATGATAATGTATATAGTAATGTCTTTAGTTTGACTAATATGCACTGTATTCATGTTAGGAAAAAACACATTATATACTGTAAAGATATACAATTATTAAATGTAAATTAAAAAGAAGTAAATAAATGAATACTTTTTTAAAAAAAGAAAGAAAGAAAGAAAAAACATGCCAGGCACATGTATGTGTTTGCCCCAAATCTTGACAGAATGGAGAAATAGAGGAGAAGGAATTGTGGCGTGAACACACCACACTCAAGGCTGCTTTTTCCCCCTGTCTCTCTGTTTCTCTTTGGTGAGTGCATGTGCCCTCTGGCAATTAAAAAAAATCATGCTGGGACCAGCAGATGCCATGATGATTACATCACTGGGCTCCTGTGTAGTGAACTGCTGTCAGAGTCCTGGACCCAAGAGCTTAAAACTTACACCGAGCACATGTGTGTGCATGTCCAAAATTTTGAGAGGAGAGTGGAGGAGGAAGGATTGCAGCACGGCCACCCCTGGGGAATGTGTGTGATTTCTTGTTTTCTGTCTCTCTTTCTCTACAGTGAGCGCATGTACCCTATAGCAAAAATCTCTATTAAAAAAAAAGTGGTTAAGGGGCTCTAAGTGGTAGGAGGAACATAGGGGGCTGCGGGAGCCCAGAGGTGCCCCCTCACTCTGCTGGAGGCCACAGAGACAGAGTTAAACTCCTAAAAGAGGTAAGACCCAGAGGGGAGGGTAAAATAGGAGATGGATTGTGAAGGAGAAGCAGGAGAGCTTCCTATGCACGGAGAATTACCTGCGCAAAGGCCTGGGTGTAGCGGGAGCTATTAGCGGATTATACAACTGGAGTAGAAGGTAGGAAAAAGCAACAGCGAGGCTTGTGGCCAGCAGGTGGAGTAGTGGTTCAGGAGCTGGCCTCCCTCATGGCTGACCACAATTAGAGTCCCAGATCTAGCGGTTTAAGTGTGCATGCATACCCAAAATCTCAGGAGGAGAATGTAAGAGAAGGGACTGCAGGGTGGCCATGCAATGGCCCCTGGGGTAGTGAGGGGGGTGATTTCTCAGTGTTTCACTGTCTGTGGTGAGTATACATGCCCTATGGCAAAAACCTAAAAAAAAAAAAAAAAGTGAGGCTGTTATCAGGGGCTGCTTAGCCAGACTGACTACATCTTATTTAAAATAAAAAACTGTCTGATATTGTTTTGTTTGAGATTTCTCACAGGAACTCCAAGGAGACAAACAGCCAACCTGGAGCTTAAAACAGGTTCAAAGGCAGAATATTCGATTGTGCCTCCCAGCTAGATATTAACCTCATCTATGCTTTCCTAGGGATGGCCGTAAACCACACAGCGTCCCTCTTCCGCTATAAAAACATCTGTAAACTGGCTTATTGGTCAGAGATACTCTGGTGTGGTCACATTGTAATAAATTTTCCTTTCCTCTCTCCTCAACAGTTTGGTCTGTTTTGTTGAGCTTTGAGTCTCTGGACCAGGGGCATACAGCCCCTGGTCTGGCAACAGGCAGAGGGAATCAAGGAAAGGCATGGGGGTGGCAGGAGGGGACAGAGCAATCCTTGCTCTTCCCGGTCCTGTCATCGCTCACCAACCACCAATCTCTGCTCTCTCTACTGGCCTTATTTGTTCTTGAAAACTGCAAGTTCTCGCCTCATGGAGGGGTGAAAGATTATACTTAGGGGTGCGACTGGGGTTGGGGTTAATTTGGGCGTCACGGTGAGGATCTGGCTTGAAGTCCATTTTTATTTTACTGTTTTATTTATGTTTCTAGTTTTGCTATAGGACACATGTGCTCTCTAGATAGAGAGAAAGTGAGACATCGACCCCTGGGGGGAGTGCCACACTACAGTTCTCCACTTGGGATTTTGGGCATGCACACACATGCACTTGGAATGTTTTCCAAGTAGTGAGTCCAGGACTTGAACTGCATTGTCGGTCATGTGGGATCCAGCCACCTTAGCCACCATGCCACCTGCTGGCTCTATTTTATTTTATTTATTATTATTTTTTAGAGATTTTTCCTATAGGGCATGTGCACTTGTTGGAGAGAGAGAGAGACAGAGAGAGAGAGAGAGAGAAAGTGAGGAATCAACCCTAGGGGGATGGCCACACCACAATCCCTTTTCTTCCTTTCTCCCCTCAGGATTTTGATCATACACACACACACACACACACACACACACACACACATCTGGTATGAGTTTCAAGCTGCCGGTTCTGGGACTCAAACCAGTAGCCCTGTGAGAGTCCAGTGCCTTAACCACTACACCACCTGCCAGCCTCAGTCCTATCTACTTTAAATGGGACGCATGTGGTTTTCTGAATGGCAGTGGGGTCGTGCTTCAGTGTTCTGGGAGATGGGCAGGCATTAAATCCTGTGGGAGCACTTGTGTGGCTGGGGCAAGGTCTGGGCTCCAAACGTAGGGTGGAATGGCAGTGGGGTCGTGCTTCAGTGTTCTGGGAGATGGGCAGGCATTAAATCCTGTGGGAGCACTTGTGGGCTGGGGCAAGGTCTGGGCAAATGTAGGGTGGAGGAACATTGAGCCTTTTGTCACTGGTTGGGGGCATTATGTACTATTGGGGCAATGCTTGAGAGGCCTGGAAGGAGCCTCATGCAGGGATCAAGGCACTCGGTGACAGCACCAGGAGCCTGTGAGGTGGGAATTATTTTCTCAGTTTCCAGATGAGGAAAGAAGGTGAGGCTCAGAGAGGGTAATTGCCCAAGCTAGTGGTGAACAGGACTTGAACCTAAGCCTGCTGGCTCCTAAATTGCTGGGATTCCCAAGGTATCAGCTTCTGAAGAGACCAAAACAGAGCTGCAAACCGTTGGGCCTGCAGGGTGTGGCGTGGGTGCCAAGACAGATGCTTGGATGGACGGAGCTGGGCCAGGGATGAGCGCTAGTTCCCCCAGCTGTGAAGGGCACCTGAGGTCCAGAGAGAACAAAGCCTCTGGGGCAGGCGGTGATGGGGTCGGGCAGGGGTTAGCCTGCCCTCTCGGTGAGGCCGGGCCCCACGTCCACCACCCACCTGTGAATAGCACAGATCGAGTATCTGCCTCCCTCTTCCCCTCCTCCCCGCCTGCCACTTCTCCTTCCCCTACTCCACTGCCATGGCCTGGTCCACGCCTCAGTGCACCCACTCAATGGGCCTACTCTAATCCCCTGACATCACGCCTGCCCAACACAGGCCCTGCCTGCCAGCCTTGGCAGCCCCCAGCCTGGGAGAGCCTGGTTAGGACTCCCCCCACCACCACATCAGAACCCATCTTTTTCCTCAGCCTCCTCCCTCCTTCAGCTGACAGTTCAGATCTGGGACACCCCACATCCGGCCCCACGCTGGGGTTCAGGAGTCTAGGATCTGCTCTGGCTTTGCTGTGTGACTCCAGGTAAGTAGCTGCCCTTTTCTGGGCCTCCGTCTCCTTATCTAGATTCCTCCCAAACCCCAGCTAATCACATCAACCTGCTTGGGCTTCTCAGCACCTGTCACTGTAGGGAACACTTGGTTTGTGCTGGGTGCAGGCTTCCTGTCGGCCTCCCACCTGGACTGTGCTTGCTCGTGAGGCAGGGACCTGCCTGCCTCATTACCCACCCGGGTGCCAGCACACAGAGTGTGCCCTGTTAATATCCTATCTGCTGAGTAAATGTCACCCACCCACCAGGGGAGGTAGGTGGAGCTGTATTCCAGCCCCAGGGTGGAGTTAGAGTGAGGGTCTGACTCTCTGACTCACGGTATGGGCAGGGGTGAAAACGGAGCATCTGCCTCCCCCAGCCTGCCCCTCACAGTGCTCAGGTGTGCGTGTGTGTCCGTGTGTTGCATTTGGGCAGAGGGAAAAGGTCTCCCCGTGTATCAGAGGCTGAGGGGGGCTAGCTCCCAGGCTCACGTGTCGGTGCATGTGTGTGGGCAGAGGGTGTGTATACCCCTGTGTGTATGTGTGTGTCTGTGCAGCGGCTCTGGCTGGGCCTCCAGGTGTGTGCATGTGCTCACACAGCCGTGTGCCTCGGTGTCCCTGTGTGTGCTCATCTGGCTGGGACTCTGGGTGTGTAACCTGAGCCCGCCTGGCATGACACGACATGTATGTAGACAGGCCCACTAAAGCAATGGCTCCAAGAGGCAGGAGTTTTCGTCGGTCTTGTCCCATGCTCTGTCCCCAGCACCAAGAACAGGGGTGGCACATAGCAGGGGTCCATATGCCCTGAATGAACGAATCTGGGAAAGCACGTGCCCATGCCTGTGGGGTGCACAGGTGCCGACAGTGTAGACGTGTGTGTGCACCTGTGTCGAGGGTGCACCTGGGTGTGGATGATGGTGCTCACATGCCACCCCTCCTGTTCCTCTTCCAAACTTCTCAGGAGTCAGAGCCCAATGGCTGGGTCCCTGTGGGGCGGAGCAGGGGGCCGCCTCCTCAGGGGAAACTGGATCCCAGGACGTGCGGAGCAGCAGGGAGCAGGGCGGCCCCTTTGTCCCCCATAATCCCCTCCCCGCCCTCACCCCTCCCTTCCAGCCACCAGGGTTTAAGGTTGAGTTTGGAAACTACAGGGGTCCAGGGTGTCACCTCAGTGATCCCTTCCCTACCTGTTCCCTGCTCTGGGGCTCTGTACCCCAAGTCCCAGGCCTCTCTGTCTAGAGTACATGCCCTTTTCTAGGTCCCTCCCAAAGCTCTCCATGTCTTGTCCCGTGGCTGGGTCTCTCATCCTTTGCCAGGACCCTGCCCACTGCCCGCCGTCCTCCCAGGGCGTAACTCCTTCCCTCCCTCCTGGGCGGCCCTAGGGCTCAGCCCTGGGTATAAAGCCACCCGAGGGACCAGGGACAGGACAGGTGCCCTCAAAAGACCCAGGGACCCCAGAAAGGAAGGAGCTGGAGAGAGAGCATGAGCTGTGCACTGGGTGAGTGAGGGGCAGGGGTGCCAGGGCCCGGGTATCAAGGGAGGGGACGCTACCAGCCTTCTGGTTCCCGAGACTTGTATACCTCCAAATCCTCACACACAGACCCTTTTATTCCTAAGGGGGCGGACAGTGGAGCTGCGATAATGCAACTCTGACAGGCTGGCTCGTGTGGGCAAGTTTCAGGTGCGTGTCTGGAGCCCTCCCTATGTGCTGGGCACACATGTGTCCATGATGCAGGACTGGCTACAGCTGGGGGTGGATCATGGCATGAATGCGTGTGTGTGCCACTCATGGAAGAAAGAAATGAGTGAACTTAAAAAAAATAGCTTCATCACTCATTTAACAGATTTTGACCGAGTGCCTATTACGTGCTAGGTGCTTTTCCAAGTATTTGGGGATATACAGACAAAACTGCATGGCCTCATAGATTCCATTCTGCAGACATAATAATAATACATATAATAAATAAGTAAGTGTGATGCCAGTGTCATACAAGGTGAGTGTAGTGACCCAAGTTTGCTGAATGAATGAACAAATGAATGAAGGGGCCTTCCCTTTGGCCTTCTCTTAACTGAACTTCTGGGAACCAGGAACTGTAGGAAGGGGAACTAACGTGGCCTTCCGGGGCTTGCTTCTCTCCATCGCTTCCTGGCTGGTGACTGTAAATAATTCCTCTCTTCTCAGCCTCGCACTGTTGGTGGGAACATAAACAGGGTCACTCTGAGAGGACAATCCAGCAGCAGCCACCCAAATGTAAAACAAGCATGCCTCCCAGTCCAGGCATTCCCACTTTCCCAGGTGCCCAGAGAGGCTGGGATAAGGATGTTCCTGGCAGCCTTCACTCACTCACTCATTCAACAAGTGTTTAGTTAGGGGACCCCCCCCCCCGTGGTGAATGAGCCAGGTGAGGTTTCCCCTTTTTTGGAGTTGACATTCTAGTGGGAGAGACGGCGATGAACAAGTAAACAAATAATCACGGTAACTTCAGGTAAAGGAAGTCTTTGAAGACTAGAAATCTGGAAGAGGGAGGGACTTTTTTTTTAGAGAGATTTTTGCTATAGGGCAGGTGTGCTTGCCAGAGAGACAGAGACAGAAAGCAAGAAATCACCCCCCGAGCGGGGATGGCCACACCGCAATCCCTTCTCCTCCATTCTCTTCTTGGGATTTTAGGATGTATGCACACACACCTGGTGTGAATTTCAAGCTGTGAGGTCTAGAACTCGAACCATGGTCAACTTCGTGGGAGTCCAGTGATGGAAGCACTATTCCATCTCCTGGTCCCAAGGGAGGGACTTTTGATATGGTGCCAGGGCAGCTTCTCTGGGCTGAGGCCTGAGGAACAAGAGGGAAGGTTTGGGGCTGGTCCTCACAGGGCACAGCAAGGGTGACAGCCTGGGGGACGAATGCTGCCAGGACACCAAGAGGGCCAGTGCAGGGACCAGGAGGTGGCGCCAGTGGTAACACAACTGGGCCCACCTGGCAAAGGTCCTGAGTTTATGGCCCAATCTGGGAGCCCCCCTTGAGCAGGCGGGGTGCACACATGCACGCCCACATGATCTGGACTGGCTGCGACTAGGGGTCGACAAGAACACCTCCCGCTATTCTTGTCTCTGGCTCTCAAGGAATAAATGAGTAAACTCAGTGGGGGGAGGGGGAGGGAACACTGAGGAGTTTGGCTTTCACGCTGCGTGAAGTAGGGGCCATGGGAACGTTCAAGCAGAGGAGGGACATGTCGGACTTGGGGGTCTTGGGACAGGAAAGCAAGGGTGGGAGAGCCCAGGCAGGAGGCTCATCCAGGCAAGAAATGAGGTAAGGATGGGTTGGGCTGTGGTGGGAGCAGTGGAAGAAGGCAAAGTGATTACATCCTACATACATTTCTTCACCTTTCAGTTATTTCTTTAGGTTTTTTGCTGTAGGGTGTGTGCACTCGCTGGAGAGAGACAGAGAGAGACAGTGAGAGGGAAAGTGAGAAATCACCCCCCCACCCCAGTGGGGAGGGCCGCTCTGCAGTTCTTTCTCTTCTATTCTCCTCCTGGGATTTTGGGCATGTACACACATGTGCCTGGGGTGATTTTCAAGCTGCCAGGACACCAAACTATGATCAGCCATGTGGGAGTCCAGCACCTTAACCACCACACCACCTTCTGGCCCCTCTCTTTATCTTTTATAACTTTTTATTTAAAGTAAAAATAGCTTCTCTGGGGACTGGCAGGTGGTGTA